GGGTGCTAGAAATTTCTGCGATCTTTCCAGCATATGGAACTAAGAAACTACAAAACAGACGAAAAACACAGTCGATTTGCTCGAATTTGTCGAGTACTCCTTAAAGAGATTCGCGAGCGATCGTATGTTCCGTCGGGTAAACGTTGGAATTCGTAATCGGGGGCTGGCAGCTCCCTATCCGTCTGGACGTAAAACGTCCTCGTGGAGGAGTTTTCAGCTCAAAAGTGGGTTTGGCAAGTCGCCATGCCGCGTCGTCAGCCTCGCCGCTCGCCGGCGAGATTCCAGCTCGCTGGTATGCAGCTACAGGTAAAACGTACACCTGGTCCTTAAACGATTTCAATTGCCGGTGTCTCTGTTCAACCGCGTTCAAACGGAGTGTTCACGCTGTTTTTAGCCCGTTTAATACTTCGATGCACCCGGAGGGTGAAACAGCAAAGAGGAGAGAGATCCTCTTGTCTGTTTGCGATATACATATACGTGCACCCCGTGTAAATATTTCTCATTGAAACCTGGCCAATTTGCGGAGTCTTCGATTCAGCGATAACTCTTTTCGGGATGTTGACCTGTCCGGTTCTCTTAACAAAAAGATTCCTCGCGGTTTACGGTTTCAGAGCAATTTCCGGGCTACTAAATCGGGAGAGCTCTCCCCGACACCCCATAGATTTCGGTGCGGAGAAACAGAGGTTGGTAGAGCCGATGAGAGTCGATGTTTGTTATCAAGGAGAAGAAAATACTGCGGGCTTTTTCGTTTCGCTCGGACGCTCGTCGTTTCCTCGTTTTTCGCGAGCCGTTCGCGTTCTTTCCTAGCTCCTCTCGCCGCCGCCGATACTCGAATAGCGGTGAACGCTTTGACGAGGAATTTAAAGAAATCTCGACGCAATCTTAGGCAACCATTCACTAAATGCCTACAGTCGATCGCAAAAGTTCTACATCTCGAGTACCGCTCGTAATTACGGATTGCAGAGAAAATTCTGTCGCTATATCTGTGTACAGTGACTCTCGTTAACATTCGGATACTTTTCGAAATTCAATAGTATTTTTAGAACTATATTAAACGCTTTGAATTTTTTTTTTTTTATGACAGAGGGACCAATCTACTAGATTATAAAGGTGTCTTTTTTTTTAAATTTTGCTACTGCTTAGAATGATAAACGAAAATAAAAAGCTTTCGTTTTTTAACTTTTCATCTGAGTTTCGAGACGAGCCGCAAGTAATTCAAGATCGCGAACGTCATAATTTTGTTCCGATTTTTGGCACTTCCGACCGATAACTAAGAAATTTGCAGTTTTTTCAATCTTTATATATATATAATATAACATACATAGTGCTCGATTAAATATTATTTACTATTTAAACAGACAAATGTAACAGATGCAGTAATTTCTCCCTAATTCGCGCTGAGATTGCGCACCAAAATGGGCAATTTGGGAGGAGGAGATACGATTATTCGAGCCTTGCGAATCGTTTCTATACTTACCGATTGTCAAGAACTATAAAAACGAGCCGCAATTAGGGAGGAATTATTGTATCGCTGTTCTTGACAGATCTGCATTAACTAATTACTTGACTAATTATTTAACCGACCAATCAAGTGCACAATTTTAATTGCTTGCTTTCATTAAGACTCGTTCGAGAAGGATTTTGCGAGTGACTGTAAATACAGGTGATCGACGAAAATGTTTGCTATTAAAATGCTAATAAACGTTTAGATAAGCGAGCAAGCGAATAATTATCTGCTCCAGCGTCCCACTCGATTCTCTTTCCACGCTTTTCCCACTCGTTGACCTCGTGGAAATTGAACGTTTCGAAAACACGAACGAATCTTTCATAAACGTCGCGCACTGCAGGCCAGTTTCATGAAATTAGCGGAAATTAATGAATGAACAGGAAACATCCTAAGGCGAACAACTTTCAGACGCATAATTCAATGAAAATGAATAGAAACGAATAGAAATACATACTGGTTTTCTTGTTGAAAGATACATCGATGTATGTACATAACAAAATATATACGGACGTATAACAAAAGCATTAACGAAGTCTAAGAATCATAAACAGGGTTACCGAATCGTTGATTATTCTGAAATATTAATAACTACAAAAATATTTGCGATGCATAGTCGGAACCAGTTTAAAGGTATACCATATATTTAGCTATAAAACTCCTGTATAACGAAAATTTATGCAATTTCTGGAAATAAGTTGAAAATTACGGATAAGTGGACGCGTCGAGAAAGAAACACGTGTCGTCGAAAGTATAACTTTCCGATAAATCGCAGAGCTTTATGGATGCTTAAATCAGAAAAAGAAGGTTGATACGTAATTTCTCAGGCATTCAACTTTAACTAAAAAAATATAAATATAACAAAATATATACGGACGTATAACAAAATCATGAACGAAGTCTAAGAATCATAAACAGGGTTACCGAATCGTTGATTATTCTGAGATATTAATAACTACAAAAATATTTGCGATGCATAGTCGGAACTAGTTTAAAGCTATACCATATATTTAGCTATAAAACTCCTGTATAACGAAAATTTATGCAATTTCTGGAAATAAGTTGAAAATTACGGATAAGTGGACGCGTCGAGAAAGAAACACGTGTCGTCGAAAGTATAACTTTCCGATAAATCGCAGAGCTTTATGGATGCTTAAATCAGAAAAAGAAGGTTGATACGTAATTTCTCAGGCATTCAACTTTAACTAAAAAAATATAAATATAACAAAATATATACGGACGTATAACAAAATCATGAACGAAGTCTAAGAATCATAAACAGGGTTACCGAATCGTTGATTATTCTGAAATATTAATAACTACAAAAATATTTGTGATGCATAATTGAAACCATTTTATAGGTATACCATATATTTAGCTATAAAACTCCTGTATAACGAAAATTTATGCAATTTCTGGAAATAAGTTGAAAATTACGGATAAGTGGACGCGTCGAGAAAGGAACGCATGCCATCGGAATTATAACTTTCCGATAAATCGCAGAGTTTTATGAATGCATAAATCAGAAAAAGAAGGTTGACCACATGATTCCTCGGACGTTCAACCAACTTGGTAAACAACGGTTTTACGATTTGGTCGCGACCAGGCGTTGACCAGAGCCGATCGAGAGTTCCATTATCTCCGAGGGTGCGAAGAGCTTTTGGAAATGATTCTTCGAGGCACAGATTGTACAGGCACACACGGCGGGCTTTCCTCGTTAACGCGCGCGAGAGACACGGACAGCCGTCGGCTATAAATTCGTGGATATTTGTTCGCTCAAGTGCAGAGATACTCTTTTTCACGGTGCATTGAAATTTCGTGAATCCGGAAATGGGACGATAAATTTACTGACCGTTCCGGAAAGATATACGAGCCTCGAGGAAACGCGGCTCTCGCAACTACCGGACGCGCGCAAAGCTTCTTAGAATCGCATTCTGTATGCGCGCGGAATAAGATGTGTACGAAAATGTCGGGGATTCGAATGGGTGATACACGATGCGAGGAGATATTTCACGGGCTGCTGGCTACTTTTAGATGAAACGTGCCGACGTCGTCCACTATTTTATTATTCTTCGCGATCTTATTATATTTCCCTCGGCCGCGGGTGTAAACGTTCGAAACACAGCGCCGCAATGGGCTTTTAGCTTCGGCGGCGCGCCGTTCGAAGATTTATCACCACGGTGCTGCTATAATTCTTCATTTAATAAGTCCATACGCGCGATGTCCAGGATTTCATGACTCGCTGAATATTTCGTTGCATTGTCGTTTCTTCTTCTGTTGTTTCTCCCGCGTAATCAACGGGGTTATGCGGCATGGTGCTCCAATCAGTAAGCTGTTCTCGACGAGTATACTTGTCGTAAGACGAAATTTCAGCTATCTGATTAAGATAGGATATATATACTTTGACATTTTCTTGATGAAATTATATATTTGATAAAGGTGTAAACAAAATATGAAGAAATCAAATATATACAGTACAATTACGGTAACTTGCACAGTCTCCGAAGCGATCGCAACAGCTAACTGGCATAGTGCTCCAATCAGTAAGCTGTTCTCGACGAGAATGCTCGTCGTAAGACGAAATTTCAGCTAACTGATTAACACATACTTTGACATTCCTTATTAAATTATATATTTGTTAAAGGTGTAAACAAAATATGAAGAAATCAAATATATACAGTACAATTATGGTAACTTGCACACTTTCCAAAGCGATCGCAACAGCTAACTGGCATAGTGCTGCAATCAGTAAGCTGTTCTCGACGAGTATGCTCGTCGTAAGACAAAATTTCAGCTAACTGATTAAGATAGAATATATATACTTTGACATTTTTTCTTGATGAAATTATATATTTGATAAACGTGTAAACAAAATATGAAGAAAATCAAATATATACAGTACAATTATGGTAACTTGCACACTCTCCAAAGCGATCGCAACAGCTAACTGGCTATCAGAGTAAATTCTTCTTTCCCAAAATTATCGATTCATTGTTAATTTATATGTAAATGTTGCGTTCACTGATTTCAAAGTTACATTGATTAGTTTGAGCGCGTACAAAAATGTCGGACTTTACATTTGAAAAAAAAGGAAAACATTTGCTTACATTTGAAAAATTGTTAAGAGTGTAACTGTTGCGCGAGTCCCAAGAGAGTCAATTTTCATATATGCATAAAAAATGCATCTTCTCGTATAAAATAGAAATACTGCGAGTCAGAAAAATGATCTTATATTTTCAGTTGAAATAGCTTCGAGTGCAAAGGGTTAAATATATTTAGAACGTAAATGACCAAAGTAAGAGTAACTCTTAGGCACTCAAAGGTCAACGTCTGTCCCTCCATACGACCCACGAAGCTGTTCAATCTTTGTATATTGATTTCTTTATTTATCTTTTCTTTATATCTTTATATATTTATCTATTTCTTTATATTATCAGAATCATCCAGCACTGCCCGACCAGTTCTCTGAAACAGTTTCTCTCACTTTTTGTTGCAGGAAGTATTACACACGATCAGCGCGCCCAGCGGACAAGTTCGGCGTATCGTTATCTTCAAGAAAAACGGCGTACAGGCCATGGTGGAATATCCTTTGCAATAGAACCGTTGGTGTCCACTCGGTGGATCGCGTTTTACGTATATGGATCGCGTTTTACGTATATGGATCGCGAGGAGATACACCGGCCCCGCGCTGCCGGCACGATAGATGAGCTTAAAGCTCGAGAGGATTTCCATGGTGACACATATCTTTGGGAATGACTCGCCGCGAAAGTTTGTCGGTCACGCGCCACTGTTGCAACGCGATGAGGATTTATAACCGGATCTTGGGGTCCGACGATACCGCGTCACAGAGATACGAGATCTTTCACCTTGGTTATCTCGGGTGTAAATTACACCAGCTAAGGTGTTTGACAGCGTTAGACTATCTGGGCGTACATTAGTAGGTTCATGGAGTACGTAATCAGGAAGAGGGTCGATCAGTTAATGCTGATCAATCAAATCGCCCATTTCTGTTTCCAAGCTGAGGATCAATTTGGGAGAATGAAAACAGCCTGCAGATGTTCATTTATTCATGGAGTTATTTATTCATTTATTTGTTTATACGTGAATAGCTTCAATGCAGATCAATGCCTGATGATGTAAATATTAGCGAACATTTTATAAATACAGTTCTAAAACAGTTATGATGTCGGAATTAATGCAAATAATTTCTCTGAATATATTCCGTAATTGAGTTCGAACGCTGATTCTAATTCTCTTTGTATCTTTATTGCAAGTTAGAAATAAAATGTGATACACAAGATAGGGAAATTAATTGTAAACATATAAATTTTTTTTTCAATCTTAAAGATAAAAAGAAATAATACAATAATAGAAAAAATGTAGGGTCCCATTTGAAAAAATCAACTTGACCTTAAAATATCATTCACCGTTATGTCAATGACAAAAAATGATCGATACTATCTAAAACATCTGTTTGTACTGAACATCTTTTGTATAAACATTGTTTACGTAGCTTCGATCTATTCCGAGATGTTTCACTGTTCTCAGTGAGGCGTAACACCCTGTATATATGTATATATTTATATTTACAAATTGTTCGATTGTTTCCATTGAGCACATATGTGTTATTTTTTTTAAATATTTTTACTGCCATTAAATCGTTATACATTTTTTAAACACGTCGTTCAACAATATTTATATTTTAGTTACTCCTTTCGAAGATACAAATTCTGCAAGTTAGATTCTGATTGATTTAAACAATTTTACAATCCTTGCTTTCGTAAGCGCATTGTTCAAAATATTGTTATTTTTTTATATAAATTGAAATCATATCCGTTATCTGTTCTTTTCTTTGGGTTTAATGTCGCGTCGGCTGGTTAACGACAGGTTCTGTGTTTTTAGGTTGACTGACACGTTTATTATTTCTTGTAAGAATTAACGCAGTATAATCGCTTCAAATTTTTAAAGTTTTAATTACATATGTACTTGCATACTTTCGCTTGTCACTCTTGATAACCCGTATCATAATAATTGTGGCTGAGTACAGATTTATACATCAGCACGTGTATAAATCTATATAAATAATATATATATATATATATATTTATTATAATAAATAATAGTATATAAATAATATATATATATATATATATATTTATTATAATAAATAATAGTATATAAATAATATATATATATATATATATATTTATTATAATAAATAATAGTATATAAATAATATATATATATATATATATATTTATTATAATAAATAATAGTATATAAATAATATATATATATATATATATATTTATTATAATAAATAATAGTATATAAATAATATATATATATATATATATATTTATTATAATAAATAATAGTATATAAATAATATATATATATATATATATATTTATTATAATAAATAATAGTATATAAATAATATATATATATATATATATATTTATTATAATAAATAATAGTATATAAATAATATATATATATATATATATATTTATTATAATAAATAATAGTATATAAATAATATATATATATATATATATATTTATTATAATAAATAATAGTATATAAATAATATATATATATATTTATTATAATAAATATATATATATATATTATAATAAATAATAATATATATATATATTTATTATAATAAATATATATATATATATTATAATAAATAATAGTATATAAATAATAACAAATATTTCGAGACCGGACGATCAAAATGGTACGTTCCTGTAGTCGTTGAATTTACGGTTTATTTTACACGACAACGACCATAACAAACTCTCATTTAAAAAAGTAATTACCTTGAAACAAGGTTCGCTCTATATTTAGACGTGCCCTTTGAAATTGTGGTACTTTGTTCCGAGAAGTTTCCCCGTACGAGTTATAGACGTTATATTTAGAGATTGTGATTTATGAATTGCGACACGGAAGCTTTGTTATATAGAAAGATCCGCAGTTTGTAAACAGTGTGAAATCTTTCAAGAATTTCCTTTTTCTCCACTTAACGCTTTATTTAGTCAAATTGAAGTTGAAAAGTGAAGTTGCACGACATCATCTATTTTTCCGATGTTCTTACGTTTTACGGAAGCCAAACAAATTCGAAAGATTATTTAAGTGTGTGAATTACTGTGTTCCCCCTGGTTACACGTGGTATGTAACCACGTGTTACATATAAACTTACTTTCTTGGTTCGTGAAACGTGTGTAAACTACGCGTGATTTCCTTTCGTTCTCTGAATAATATCGTAAATATTGAAACATAAATAATAAATTATGCTGAATAATTTAATACGAAATATTTCATATTTTTATATAGTCGTTATAGAATTATTTACATGGTACTGATCGTGGTAATTGTAACACATCAACTAGATCAGCGTAAAAAACTAAAAAACTAATTAATAAAACCTAAACCAATGAAAAAACTAACTAAGAAAACCTAACAAACTATTATGTATATGTTCGTTAAATATTTCGCGTTGTTTACATGTCTACTTCACTTACGAAAGAATTCATACTTATACGAAGGTCATCAACGTATAATTTAAATGTTTCAAAAAGCGATGATAATAGGTAGAACGAATTATTTAGTTTGTTGAAAAATCCGGACGTCGTTTTAACGGGCACAGTAATTGGTACACTGCAACGCAAACATTAATTTTCAAATCAGAGACGAGATAGTCGGTGTTAAAAGTGCTAGTAAAATTGGAAAAATAAAATCTCCAGACTTCAAAAATTCACAAAGATGTAAGGACCGTCGTAATTGATGCAACATTATAGTAATTGATACACTTACGCCGACGCAGCAACGCAAACATTAATTTTCAAATCAGAGACGAGACAGTCGGTGTTAAAAGTGCTAGTAAAATTGGAAAAATAAAATCTCCAGACTTCAAAAATTCACAAAGATGTAAGGACCGTCGTAATTGATGCAACATTATAGTAATTGATACACTTACGCCGACGCAGCAACGCAAACATTAATTTTCAAATCAGAGACGAGACAGTCGGTGTTAAAAGTGCTAGTAAAATTGGAAAAATAAAATCTCCAGACTTCAAAAATTCACAAAGATGTAAGGACCGTCGTAATTGATGCAACATTATAGTAATTGATACACTTACGCCGACGCAGCAACGCAAACATTAATTTTCAAATCAGAGACGAGACAGTCGGTGTTAAAAGTGCTAGTAAAATTGGAAAAATAAAATCTCCAGACTTCAAAAATTCACAAAGATGTAAGGACCGTCGTAATTGATGCAACATTATAGTAATTGATACACTTACGCCGACGCAGCAACGCAAACATTAATTTTCAAATCAGAGACGAGACAGTCGGTGTTAAAAGTGCTAGTAAAATTGGAAAAATAAAATCTGCAGACTTCAAAAATTCACAAAGATGTAAGGACCGTCGTAATTGATGCAACATTATAATTGATGCTTCTTAAAAAAAAAAAGAAAAGGGAGTTTAAGAGAAAAGAATATAGAGACAGGATAGAAGATAAATTACTTCGGACATACAGAACAGAGTGGCGTTTTATTCACGATGGAAACTCGCTGATTAATCATCTATTATATTCGTAGTATTTTCCGTCGACGTGTCGGGCGATCTAGGATCGTGCTGTGAAATTTATGAGCGTCGACAGATGTTTGTAAACTTAACCAATGTCATCTGTCTTCGACTCCATTCATCTGTGAACACGCATGAGGAGGGGGTTAAGCCGGAGGTTTTGTTTCAAAAATACTCGCATACGTCGTCCATCGGTGATCATGGAGAATGCTCTCCCACTGGCAAGCGTGCGGTAAAGTGTATTTTCAAAATTTGAGGGGATAAGTCTGACGATAATAGTAATAGAAACCAGACTGAGACTGACATTTTCGTTACGTCCAGAACACTTGTGAAACGTTCGAGCAATATCCAAATATACAGGGTGAGTCATTTAACGCTTGCACCTTCTCATTTCCCTTGAAAATTACTTATTGCGTAAAAAAATGTATCGAACGAACGTTTTATTTGGTGTAAAGAGGAGGCAATATTTAATTATATAAGAGCAATATTTATTTTTTTGCTGTTTTCTTTTTTTCATCAAAATATGTGGGTTACTTGACAAAGTTATTATTATTAAACATTTACACACGCATCATTCACATCGCTTAATCGCCTGCATTCTTGCATTGCTTGTTATGAACAATATTTTCAACGTATTTTGCATTTTTAAATCAACTAAAGAATAGCTCGATAAACATTAATTTCTTAACACTTGCGTCTTAATAATTTTCTATTCGGTATTTAATAGACTAAAATATTGAAGGTAATTCTCGTATTGATAAAAACAGGAAAACACGAACGATTTTTGTTCGAAACATTTTTTTCATGCAACATGTATTTTACAGGAAAAATTGAGGTGAAAGAGTTGAATGACACATTCTGCGGATTCAATACTGTCACTGTATCGTATTCCGTGTTACATTGTTATTATTAGACTGCGACTTGCAAAAGTTATAAGAAACCGGAATTAAATAAAAATGTGTTTCTTCTTTTAATAGATCTAAAAAGTTGGAAATAATGTAACAACGTTACCAAATTCTTCAGATATTTTCAATGATATTGTATTTCACGATCTCTTTCTACCATAAATGCATAAAATCTGCGTTCAAACAAAATGTTATTGAATTTTGACAGAATATTTCCGATAAACAGTAGAATCATATTTTAACGGATTATTTTGAAATCATCGACGATCGCTTCACCGACTATGTTTTCGTCGACACGAATTCATCGACAGTTTTCAAGTTTCATTGATAGCGTGCATTCATCGATATATGTATATACACACACAATTACACACACACGCAACAGTGACAAAAATGTAATACGAGAGAATCGTATTTTACGAGACCCAATACGTGAAGCTTAGTGTGAAGAAAGTGCAACTAATTTTATATATACAGGTCTACAGCTCTACAGGTCTAATTTTATATATACACCTAATTTTATATATACAATGTCTCGCAATCCGAAAGTGGCGAATTCCTCAGGTCATTTGAAGCAATTTTTTCCTTTATGAAAATTGTCTCCGAGGCGTCGTTTACGAGTTATTAGCGAAAAACAGCCACCAATGAGAGGCGAGCTCGGCCTGCGCGCGGCGGCCCAGCCAACGGAGCCCAGCGCCGCTCATTGGCTCGGCCGTCTCGCGCCAAATGATCTCGCCCCTGATTGGTCACTGTTTTTCGTGAATAACTCGTAAACGAAGCCGCGGATCACATTTTCGCTAAGGAAAAAGTTGCTTCGAATTACCTCAGGAATCCCCTACTTTCGGATTGCGAGACATTTTTGGAACACCCTGTGTACACGTTTTATTGCTTGTATTACATGTTACTAACGACATCGAGTTTTCATATAATGTCACCCAATGACAAATTATTGACGAATTAAAGACTATAAAAAGAGAACTAATAAAGCAAAAAAAATCAAAATTGATTCACGCGCGACATCTGCCTGTTTTCTACCGATTCCCACAATGACAAAGGATCGTTTGTTAAAATAATACGCAGCTGTTAACGAAACAAATTGTGTAGCACAGAGAAAGCAAGAAAAATCCGAAACTTGTTTTCTTGCGGAAACGGATCTCGTATTTCCCTGTCGCGAATGGTGCGCGCTAAACCGATGGAAATCCTCTTTCGTGTTAGTAGATCCGCGAGTAGATCCCCCTAGATGATTTTTGTCTTCCAGTAAGCCCGCGAAGTGTACAGTCTCTATACATTCTTAACTTAGCCCTCCGAAATCCACGTTTGACTCGGTGGAATCGGCGACGAGAGCGAAGGAGACACTTCAAGGAGCGGACATATACTCCGGCTGCTGCACACTGAAAATCGACTTCGCAAAGGTGAGTCCATTGCAAAACCTATTCTTCTTTTTGCTGCTAGGCACCGTCTAGATATTCGCTCTGTTCGGGGAGCGTGGCGCTCGCCCGCATGAATGCGCGAAGCCGAACTTCGACTCATTATAATAGACCGAGGAATGGACCTGGCCCGGAATGAAAGGGTGAGCATAAAGAATGCAAGAAAGAGGGAATAGCGCGTGAAGAAGGAAAAAATAAGCCAGCCGGGTTTCATCGTTAATATTCATGAGAAAGAGAACCCGCGGAGAAATGCTTCCGCAAATAATGGAAACGTTCTAAATTCACGTTTCCCTTACGTAACCGGGCCCTTGTACTTACGCCACCATATAAAACCGAGGAAATTCGCTCGTTTCATTCATTTTACGTGCTCGTTACATATTCTTCCAATTACTTGGCGCGCCGGTGCCGAGCCCGCCGCCCGCCGACGACATTCTTCCCAATATTTCATCCGACGTCTAATTAGCGGATTCAAAATAATACACCGGAAAAAGTCTCTACCCACCCTCGAAACGCAACACGTTGGCGCACCCTTCGCGTCCGAGTTCAACATTTTCACCGGCTTGTCCATTCAATACGGGACCAGACCAGTTTGTCGAATTTCCTGCTGCTGTTTTACCTTTAGAAAGGGTCGGAAAGTCAATGCATACAGGGTGAGTCACGCGATTGGTATCGGGTAAAAAATTGTTTGGTATGACGGTGCCCATTTTTCTGCGATTTTGGTTATTCTCGTAAGTGCCTGGGATGCATCTCAATAATGCAGATGCACTTTTTTTTCGTCATTTATCGATGATAATTTTTTTCTTGTTTTTCTGAATATTTTTGTTTTGCTCGTATCGTTGTTGATTGATTCAAAAGATTACGTGTTTGTACTTTTCTATTTCTTTTCTCTCATAAATATTTATCGTAATAAATAGAATTTTAAATAATTAACAGAAACTTAGACGCATGAAGTACTATTTCAAATAATTATTTCTAGTACCTATGTCTTAAGAAAATGCTGTATCAATTAATGATCTTCATTAGCACAATATAAATAACTGTAATATATAACTCGTTTCGTGTAGCATCGAAACCGTGTCAAAAGAAACCCAGAACCAATAAAAATTAGGGTACAGAGTAATTTCTCCCTAATTCGCACCGAGATTGCGCACAAAAATGAACAATTTGAGAAGAGGAGATACGATTATTCGAGCTTTGCGTTTCGTTTTCATAGTTGTTGACAATCGGTAATTATAAAAACGTGCCGAAAGGCTCGAATAATCGTATCTCCTCTTCCCAAATTGTCCATTTTTGTGCGCAATCCGAGCACGAATTAGGGAGAAATTACTGTAATTCGTTCCGCGTTACCTCGAAATTGTGTTGCCAAAGTGCCAAATATATTATCTTACACTAGCAATAGTAACAATTCCCAGTAATTAACTATTTCCAATACTTTCACAAATATTTTTATGCAATATCAATACTACTGTACCTTCACATAATTAATTGTTGTATTGCCTGAATTGTGAAGTATAAACAATCGTGTTCAACGTGAACATAAAAAGTCCGCTGTTCAGGTTGAACTGTAGAAACAACGCAGATCAGTAAATTTCGAATTCTATATATATAATATATTCTAATATCAAAGTATATTCTAATATTCAAATTCTATATTCTAATATTCAAAGTCTATATTCTAATATTCAAATTCTATATTCTAATATTCAAATTCTATATTCTAATATTCAAATTCTATATTCTAATATTCAAATTCTATATTCTAATATTCAAAGTCTATTTTCTAATATTCAAATTATATTCTAATATTCAAATTCTAGATTTTAATATTCAAATACTCTATATTCTAATATTCAAAGTAGATTCTAATATTCAAAGTCTATATTCTAATATTCAAAGTATATTCTAATATTCAAATTCTATATTCTAATATTCAAATTCTATATTCTAATATTCAAATTCTATTTTCTAATATTCAAATTCTATATTCTAATATTCAAAGTATATTCTAATATTCAAATTCTATATTCTAATATTCAAATTCTATATTCTAATATTCAAATTCTATTTTCTAATATTCAAATTCTATATTCTAATATTCAAAGTATATTCTAATATTCAAATTCTATATTCTAATATTCAAATTCTATATTCTAATATTCAAATTCTATATTCTAATATTCAAAGTCTATTTTCTAATATTCAAATTCTATATTCTAATATTCAAAGTATATTCTAATATTCAAATTCTATATTCTAATATTCAAATTCTATATTCTAATATTCAAAGTCTATTTTCTAATATTCAAATTCTATATTCTAATATTCAAAGTATATTCTAATATTCAAATTCTATATTCTAATATTCAAATTCTATATTCTAATATTCAAAGTCTATATTCTAATATTCAAAGTATATTCTAATATTCAAATTCTATATTCTAATATTCAAATTCTATATTCTAATATTCAAATTCTATATTCTAATATTCAAATTCTATATTCTAATATTCAAATTCTATATTCTAATATTCAAATTATATTCTAATATATATATGAAAGTGTATATTCTACGATAAATATTATTAAATGTACGAAAATTGTGTTATATTTCAATTAAAAAACGGGCAGAACTTTCCGGTGGACCTAATATTTTTTCGCTTCTGGCATCAATGCTACTGGGAACACTGGAGGGTTGTAAAGAATTTTCACGCTGCTCTGTTCTTGCGCTCTTGGCGCTATCGTGGAAAAGATCGCAAAGCAAACACAGCGACGGCGTGGCCTCAGAGGGAATGAAAAGAAAATCATGCGCATTAACGTTAGGCCCGAGGCGACGAGGCCTTCCGTGTCGTTTGAAAGAAAGGAGAAAAAAGGGTGATTCGTATAGCGAGCCGCGCGTGAAAGCTCTTTCTCGTCTAACGAGTGAGATCTTGTTTCAGCGCATGTCGAGAACCGGTCGATCGGTTTTTCAATTGATGTCCATATTTAGTTACCCATCGGCGAAAAGGATCGTTGTTTGTTCCGTCAATTAACATAGTTCTCTAGAAATTACCTTTCCCTACGTTCATTCAACCGATCTTTTAGCAGCTTTTAGATCTTTCAATTCCACCCCCCGAACGTTCGAATGTCCGCGAATATTTCTGTTAATAATACCCTTTTCTGCGAACGGTTATACGTGCACGGTATAGTCTAACAACAACATTAACACGTTCCGTGCCACGTGTACCATCGATGGTACACGCTTGCATGTTTACTTAGTGAACTGAACAAATTGTTTACAAGAAATTTAGAACCGAAGAATCAATTTCCACCGCAAGAATGGGCGTTGATAAGTTTTTGTTACGTTGTTATGTGTACGAGAACTAATAATTGCACGTAATACATCAAGTTTTAGTAAAATATCAAAGTGTGAAGATTCGAGTAAAAAAAGCTCGGCACGGAACGTGTTAATGCTTCGAGAGAGCGGAGCACTTTAAGGAACTTTTAACGAAAGCAGAACACTTTGCGAAACATGAATTTGCAGAAAGATCCAGTGTCCGTTTAAACCATGAAATATTTGCAATGAAAAGACAGATTTATCTGGAAATAAAATAGGCTCGTTTCGAAATTATTTATAAACTATAGTTTGTTACAGATTCGTTTGTATGAGTTTTATAATCAAATGAAAGGATGTTGAATAGGTTTTGTCGTATATACAGGGTGTTCCACAATTATTCTAACAGCCGAAAATGAGGGGTAGCTGAGGTCATTTGAAGCAACTTTTTCCTTTGCGAAAATGCGATCTGCGGCTTTGTTTACGAGTTATTAACGGAAAACACTGACCAATGAGAGGTGACGGCGCGAAGTTCGAGAGCCCGCAGCACGAGGCTTTGAGAGATGGTCGGGGGACGGACTCGAGCCGCGTTCGAAGTATCGAACAAATCACGAAGCGAGAATTTTAAGGATTTTTTTTTTTAATACGTAACAGTGATATTTTTAAGAAAAACGCTGATCACCTTTACTTTAGAACGTCCGAAGAATATTTACTAATTTTTCGGACCCGAAATAGTAAGTAATTTAACCGTGACGGCCGTTTTAATTTTCTGATGTGCATGACACATCTTGTGTGTAACATGTGAAATTTTTAAGCAAGGTGTACAGCGAAGATTAACGAAGTACGTAAATGATATTTTAATTTAAATAATTCCGCGTCCGAGCACAGTCCAACGAATGATTCGCAAAGCTAATCTAATAAATAATAATCGTGTTAAAGGAAGTAAGGGATATGTTTGTTAGAGGAATATGAAGAATATTATCAATCACCTTGACATATCTTAAAAATTTCATATGTTCACCTTGACATAACCTTGACATAACCTTGACATGACCTAAATATGACCTTCACATATAAGCTTGACATCAAGGTTATATCAAGGTTATGTCAAGATTATGTCAAGGTTATGTCAAGGTTTTGTCAAGGTTATATAAAGGTTATGTCAAGATCATGTCAAGGTCATGTCAAGGTTATACCAAGGTTATGTCAAGGTCAATAATTCCGTGTCCGAGCACAGTCCAACGAATGATTCTCAAAGCTAATGTAATAAATAATAATCGTGTTAAAGGAAGTAAGGGATATGATTGTTAGAGGAATATGAAGAATATTATCAAAAACCTTGACATATCTTAAAAATTTCATATGTTCACCTTGACATAACCTTGACATGACCTAGATATGACCTTCACATATCGTAAATTGTTTTACGGATATTTTTTACATATAAAATTGTTGAATGTGTTCTTTAAATTATTATTTTGACGCTTGATAGTCGTAATGGAAAATAAATAATTTCTACAATAATTCTACAATAATTCTAATTAACTCTAATTTTTAATTCTTTCAATTCTAATTAATTTCCCCGTACATGTTTATTTACATTTTTAAACCACGCTAAGATAAAAAAGTTGAAAAATACAAGCTTCTCATTATTTTCGCATCGATTTGTTCATAC